CGGTAGTAAGGTGAAGGCCGGAGGCACTCTGTCCTTCCCCAGTGTATCAACTCTTCCAGCTCCAGGTAAGGACCAAACCTTGGGCTCAAAGCCTTTGTGCAACACTTTCTTCATGCTTGTCCTAGTTCTGACTCCAGGGGCTGGGCCAAGTCTCCCACGCCTCTCCATTTCTCATTCTAAAACTGAAAGAATTCTTCTGAGGACATGTGCAAAGGACTTTGTACGCTCTTAATCTCGGCTAAAGGCTGGGCATATACAAATTGGTGAGCTTCCATGCCTCTGGGTGCCCACAGCTCCTCGTATGAAGTCAAGTAGGATGAACAGGGACCACAAAGTGATAGAGACCTGGGTTGGAATCTAGACCCCACTATTGTTGTTCCCTTGTGACCTGGCTAACTGAGATAAACTCTGAGAGTTGGGCTTCTTTTATCTTCAGAATAAGGATTATAATCTCAACCTCACAGGGATATTTGTAAATATTAGTGAAATAATTTAAGGCAATTTAAAAAGTAAATCCAACTAATATATGCTCCGTTAGTCCATGTGTTGGCCATTTACTATAAGCACCCCCTGTGCTAGGCATTATGGAGATTTACTTAGACCTATTTTGCATGGTCCCTGCATACAACTTAGTTAGGAAAGTATGACATAAAATAAAGGTCAAATAAAATAGCAGTGCTGAAGTGTGCACTAAAAAGAGTGGGCACTTAGGGTATAGGGAAAGATGTTCATTTTTTATGTATTTCTCGATTACCTAAATTTTTAAAAGCTTGTGTTATTTGTTTAATGAGTACAAGAAAATAATAAATAAGTGTAAGTGATGGAATGAATGTTAGCCATCCTTTCAAAGTTCTGAAAATAAATTTATTTATTAAACATAGGCTCTCCTCCTTTGTGCCAAGCACTGTCGTAGGTCCTGGGACTGAAGAGGTGAGGGTATCACGCTCTGAAAGAAAGGGGTTTACCAATGGTGAGCAGAGACAGACACACAGGTCACAACGGCATAGCACTTCCTGAGAGCAAGGTAAAGAGTGCTAAGAGAGCATGCACTTCCCAAGGGAAAAGGAGCAGAGTCGATGGATGTCACCTTTGAGCTCGATCCTGAGGGATGATCAGAGTTGAGCAGCCCGGAGAGAAGGCAGGAGTGTATTTTCCAGACAGTGAGGGGAAAGCACAGTAAGAAACAGCACTTGTTCCGGCTAACAAGTGAAAATACATTGCACATATGTGGTTTAAGTATGTCTGTATGTATGAGAGCCTGTGTGATGCTGTGCATGTGTTTGCGGGGTTGGGGGGCATCTCATACACATTTTAGGAGGGGACTTTTGAAGACCAGCTTTTGAAGGGCCATAAAGTCCTTGGTTAGAGGTTTAGCTTCAGGCCATGGGGACATTAGGGAGGAATAGGAGGATTGAGACTGTCATGTATTCCATACTGGAGGCTGGTCAGTGTGTTGGGAGGCTGGAGGCGTGGTCTAGAATGCAGATGTGGAGGCTGGGAAGGAAAAGATTAATTTGAATCATTTCCCCAACATGTGCTAAGCCATCAGCAGTCATGCGGGAAAATGTGGCTGTCTCTTCCAGTGAAGCCGTAGGGCGGCGATTCTCAACTTGTGGGTCACGACCCCTTTGAGGGTCAAAGGACCCTTTCACAGGGATTTCCTGATTCCTAACAGTAGCAAAATTACAGTGATGAAGTAGCAATGAAAATAATTTTATGGTTGGCGTCACTACAACATGAGGAACTGCGCTAAAGGGTCACGGCATTAGGAGGGTTGAGAACTGCTGATCTTGAGTCTCAGAAACTCTGTGAGTTGGGATCAACTCACAGGTAATGGGTTTGGTTCTTTGTTTCTTTGCTTGTTATCAAAGTATTATGGGTTTTAGGTGGCAAATAAAGGGATCGGTTATGCTACCTTTATTCCCTCAAAATTCCGCATCCTATGAAAGACGGATCTAAAGAGGAAAGTACGCCTCCTGCAAAGCTGCTCAGACCTCCATCTACCCAAGTGCCAACTTGAGGCCTCCGATCTGCTAAGCAAGGAGAGCCCCTCCTCACTCCAAGCACCTACAGACAACTGGAGTCCCCACCCAAGGGAGAGAGTCCACGGCTTTCTGAGATGTAGTGCTTCTTCAGAAGTAATTGTTCCAGGCAGCAAGTGGATCAGCTCCCCTACCCGTGGTTTCTACAGAGAGTCTCCGCACTTTAGAGGGTTTCTGTTCCATGTTGTCAAGCCAGATGATAACCATGAAGTCCTTGCTTCACGGGGACTCTGCTCTCTCCTCCTAGACAGAATCTCCCTCTTCTAGAGTTTTTTCCTCCCTACCTGTATCCTTCCCTCTTCCTCCACCTCTCCTGCTTCCCTCTGGCCATCTAACTGGCTGGACACATTTGTAGTCTTAAGTAATCTCTATCTCTTGGGATCACTCTTACTATTCCACTCCCACCCCCCTGCACATACACACACACACACACACACACACACACACACACACAACATACTTTCTCATTCCCTTTCCATTCCTTCCCTCCCCCAAACCCTTTCTTTTCCCCCTACATTAAAAAGAAAAGAGACGAAGCTTTCGTGTTAGAAAAAGGAGTCTAGCCTTCGCTAGTCCCTGGGTCTGACCAACACATATGGTCAATGTAAGGCTGAGTCCAATCTCAAAAGGATTTTTTTTTTTTTAAGAAAAGGGGCTGAATGGTGGTCCTTTCATTTGGAGGAAGGTGGGTGGAGCCTGGGCTCCCAAGTCTTTTCTGGACAAGAGTGTCACTAGGCAGTCCAGCTGAGTAAGTCGTATTTGCTAATGAGCCTCTGTCTTCTCCAGTCCTTTGCTGCCTGGACTAAGGTGGCACCTGCTGCTGCTGCTGCTGCTGCTGCTGCTGCCGCCGCTTGCGCCACATTGCGTTGCTGGGCTTTCTCCTGCTGTGCTCGGAAAAGCCATAAAATTCGGAAGCATCTCATGTCAGCACTGCAGGGGTTTCAGTGGCCACTTGGTCCAGCCCCTTCAGTCTCTGGGTATGGAGACTGAGGCCTCGGGTTGCTGAGTGCCAGGGGCAATCCGTTATTAGAAAACCCAGACCGAGGACCTGTTGCAAATATCTCTTTGCGCTGGGAACACCTCTAGGTTTTTGCCTTCTGCGCAGAAATCTGCTCTATTGGGGCTCCAGATAGGCGAATGGCTGGGGGCAGCTTCATATGAAGACAGAAAGGGGTTAAATGAACATGGGTGAGCGTTTGAAATCCCCTGCATTCTCCCCGCAAGAAGAATTCAGGCAGAAGAGCCTTGTAAGGACCGGGCTGCAGTGGTGGGGGGCTTAGCGCTCTGAAGACCTGGTGAACATGGCTGTACTGTAAGACTGCAGTGCCAGACCCCACCGGCCCTTCCAAAATGGAAAGGGCCCGCTCCGCGGCAGGACTTCCCAGCCCTCGGAGAAGGATCTTCTCCCTTTGGCACCTCTCGGATCACCGATCACCGATCACCGCCACATCATTTAACACCGGGAGCTGAGCGGCCGAGCCTCTGAGACAGCAGCGCACAGCAACCTCCGTCTGCACCGAGGCGATCTCCTGGTCTGGCAACTGAAATGCTGCCCTCCCAACTCAGCCTCCGGAAGCAACAGCAAGGCCACGGAGAGAGACCATGTACGGAAGAAACTGCC